AACTCCTCGACAAGATGGCCAGGGGTCAATACCTAACCACTATAGACTTGTGCAAAGGGTACTGGCAGATTCCCTTAGCGGACGACGCCATCCCTAAGTCGGCTTTTGTCACCCCGTTTGGCCTGTATCAGTTTAAGGTCATGCCATTCGGGATGAAAAACGCTCCAGCTACCTTCCAGAGAATGGTGGACAGACTGTTAGATGGGTTCCAGGAGTATGCCTGCGCGTATCTAGATGATATCGCCATATTCAGCCACTCCTGGCACGAACATCTGGTTCACATAGGAGCCATTCTAGACCGAATCCGAGAGGCCGGACTGACCCTAAAACCCAGCAAATGCCATATCGGTATGGCGGAAGTCCAGTATCTGGGACACCGGGTAGGGAGTGGGCAACAGAAACCCGAACCTGCTAAAATAGAGGCAGTCGCCCAATGGCCTACCCCTCGCACCAAGACCCAAGTGCTCGCCTTTTTAGGGACCGCCGGGTATTACCGGAAGTTTGTGGCCAACTATAGCGCCCTCGCCAAACCCCTCACAGACCTGACCCGCAAGAACCTCCCTAAATTAGTAGTCTGGGCCCCAGAGTGTGAGCAGGCGTTCCAACAGCTCAAGACGGCGCTGGTTAATTCTCCTGTACTTTCTGCTCCTGATCCAACTAAACGCTTTCTCGTCCACACAGACGCTTCTATGTTTGGATTGGGAGCAGTACTGAGCCAAGTTGGACCCGATGGCGGCGAGCACCCCGTAGCTTACCTAAGCCGAAAACTTTTACCCAGGGAAGTAAGCTACGCCGCCATTGAAAAAGAGTGCCTGGCTGTGGTGTGGGCCCTCAAGAAGTTGCAACCCTACTTATACGGGCAACCCTTCACTTTACTCACGGATCACAACCCGTTGGTGTGGCTGAACAGGGTGTCCGGAGACAATGCCAGGCTGCTGCGCTGGAGTTTGGCGCTGCAGCCTTTTGACTTTACTATCCACTACCGCCCTGGGAAGCAGAATGGCAACGCCGACGGGTTGTCTAGACAAACAGACTTGGAGCCGTGATTCGTGAGTACTCCTCCGGACATCCCCAAGCCGATCCGTTGGGATCAGACTGTGTATGCCGGCTTGGTTCTGGGGGAGCATTGTGGCAAACCTAGCCACTCGGACTATAACTGGACACTGTGCCTTTAAGGGTTGCCTATAGGTCTGGAGAGAGATGCATTGTACCTGTATGTGCCTGCTTCATGTATTCCCTGCATTGCCTGTACCTATCTGTTCCGCCGAATGCAAATGGCGGTTTGTATGGGGATTCCCGTTCGTTTCGCGAACGGCACTTTGGAGGGCCGTTCGTGAAACGAATGCGATACCCCCTAATAGCCCACACACTTAGAGGCGTGTGGCGCTAGTTAACCGATTGCAACATTGTTGCAATCGGTTATTAGAGGCTCTCCTGGGTGGCCGTCGTTCGACTACCGACCATGCGGCGGGCGGCCATCTTGGATCCCTGGTTCATCAGCGGGTCCGTGTCGTCGAACGCATAGCATTCCCACAGTCATTCGACGGCACGAACACCGTTAAGCCTCCAGGACGTTCGGGAGTTTCAGGACCAGGTTCATTAAAGACAATCGGTTCTTTTCATGTGTTTTTAAAGAAAGGTGTTTTCTGTGCGGCGTTCGGTTATTTTAGCTGGGATCTGAGCGGCAATCTCACGAATGAGGCGCCCAGACCCCAGCTATCTACCGAACGTCCATTCGTGTAAATCCACCGTATATTGTACCAACGGTGGATTTTTGTGTGAATTGCCGGTTCTGCTGCACGAGGGGAGAATCCCCTTAACGGTGCATTCTGGGAGGGTGATCCCTCTCGTGCAGCGGTGCCTGATGGGAGAAATATGCAGTACAGTAAGTCCCCCATGTAGTCCCCTCCTGTACAACCCCTGTAATGTCTGTTTGGAAACCCCTTGCATGGGGAATTGCATAAATACTGTGACCTGTGATTAAAACCTCAGTTGACTCCCAGCCTATGTGTCGTCTAGTTCTTGGGAAGGAAGGGTTACTACAGTGCTGTTTGGATTATTATCTGCTGATTCCCTGGATTATCCTTTGTTGTTCCTGTTACCCAGCGGAGATATCGTGGATCATACTGCCTCTCCGCTACAGTGCTCCTTCTGATTCTTTCTGCTCCTTTATCTTTGTGCTCATTCTGTCCCTTCCTTCTCCGGCTCCTCATTTCTACTCCTTGCAGATGCTTTCTGCTCCTTGCTGACCCTTCCTGCTAAATTCTATTCCTTTCTTCTCCTACTCATAGAATGTGACAGCAGATAAGAACCATTTGGCCCATCTAGTCTGCCCAATTTTCATTTACTCCTACATTACATTTGTGCTCCTTCTGCCCCTTCCAGCTCCTTGCTACCCCTTTCCAGCTCCTTGCTGGCCCTTTCTGCTCCTTCTCCTACTTTACCTTTGTGCTCCTTCTGATTCTTTCTGCTCCTTTACCTCTGTGCTTCTTCTGTCCCTTCTTGCTCCTGCTGCCCCTTTCAGCTCCTTGCAGATGCTTTCTGCTCTTTGCTGCTTCTTTCTGCTCCTTGCAGACACTTTCTGCTCCTTGCTGACTCTTCCTGCTCATTTCTGTTCTCCTTTCTGCTCCTTCTCCTACTTTATCTGTTCTCCTTTCTCCTCCTTCTCCTACTTTATCTTTGTGCTGCTGATTCTTTCTGCTCCTTTACCTTTGTGCTCCTTCTGTCCCTTCCTGCTCCTTGCTGCCCTTTCCTACTTGCTGACCCTTACTCCTCCTTGCTGACCCTGCCTGACCCATCCTACTCTTTGCTGACTCTTCCTGCTTCTTGCTGACACTTCGTGCTCCTTGCTGACTCTCCTGCTCATTTCTGCTCCTTCTGCTACTTTACCTTCCTGCTCCTTGCTGACCTTCCTCTTACCTGACCTTTAGGCTGCACCCCTCCCATCCCTCACTTACCTGATCTGCAGGCTGTCTCTGCAGTCTCAGAGTTGCTGGCTGCACGCTGTGCTGCTCCCCCATGGATTTAGTCAGGAGAGAGAAGCAGGTATAAGATGTAGCTTCCTATCCCTGCCTCTCTCCACACACAGCGTCACCTACTGGCCAGCACCGGTATTGCATTGCAGTGTATTCTAAATTTGAAAAGAAAAATACCGGCACAAGCTGTAAAATGGGGAGAACCTTCCCCTACCCCTCCCCCTGCAGATGCCTATGTACTTAACCGCTTCAGATGTTAAATAGGGGCAGGATTTGGCAATTGACTGAACATGGGGGGCAAAGGAGAGGTCAGAATCAAAGAGAACACCTAGACAGCGATCCTGCGAGTTAGAGCTGATGGTAGTGCTGTAGACTTGGAGAGAGACAGAGAGAGCAGAAGCAAAACTTGTGTGTCATCTGCAAATATAAGTGATTTTGAATGCCAAAGGAGGTGATGAGTTTACCAAGGGAGAGCAGTGTATATCAAGAATAGTAGGGGACCAAGGACACAGTCTTGGGTAACACCAATAGAGAAGGAATGGGGAGAAGAAATAGAGTCCGAGAAAGAAACCCTGAAAGAGCACTTGAAGAGGTAGGAGGAGCACCAAGAGAGAGCAGTATCTCATAACCGAAGCGGATGAGAAGAAGTTGTTGATGATCAACAGTGTCAAAAGCAGCAACGAGGTTCTAGGAGAATTAGAAAATAATAGAGATAATGAGATTAGATCTTTGGATAATTTTCATATAGAGTTGCAGTGTGGTGGAGGTCTGTGGAACAACATGCTGTGCAATTTTGCCTTTTTGTTTTTTACTCTGCAGGAAATCCTACAGTTGATTGAGGACCGCCTTGAATATATATTTGAATTGGTTTATACTTGGGACAGTGATTTATGTCATATACATACATATACCAGACAATGTAATACACATGCAATGTGAGATTGGAAGATAACAGACAGTGATGGGCCAGGTAATACCTTACACCCCATGGTTCACATATTATGTTTGTCTCTTTCGCGGTCTCTCTTTTTCTCTCTCTATCTTTTAATATATCTGTCTATCTGTGCTTTTTGGATAGAATTCTGATTTCTTTAATCTTGGGCTTCATTTGTTTTGGTTTGTAAACATTTTATCTAACAGAAAACAATATCTCAGTCATTCTTCAAGTTTCTGTATAGACTAATATAATGTATAGAAATGCACAAAAGTGATCAATTACTTGGATAAAGTCTGACTTAGCTTTAGAAGTTTTGAGCAAATTAGGAAAAAAGTATGCAGGGAGAAAATAGTTAGGCCTCAGTGGAGCAAAACAGATGGATATCCACCTGCTGCTGCCTTTTATTTTACTACAGAGGTAGTGAGAACCAGTAAATCCATTTTGCAGATTATAGTCCTTAACCGAAAAGCAGAATGCCAAAGAGGATAAATAGAAGATTTAATGTTGCTTCATACAATTGAAAAAAAAGCTGTATGGTAGCTGTTTGCTGAATCAATGATAAATGCAAACTATATAGCGATATAACAAATATAAAAAAAATAAAGCCGATTAGATATATTTTAGCATGCCCACTACATTTGTGCTTTGCAAGTAAGCCCTATTAAGGAAATTACAATCCATTTTAAGATATGAACTGGCAGGAAAATTATTTCTCAGCCTACTGTTAAAAGGTAATTGACAGAAAAAACGTATTGTCATTAAACTAAACAGTCTTTGTGTACTGTCACAAATACTACATTTGGAGATTCATATTGGTCCAAACTGTAATTCATCAGAATTTTGACTCATCGGGGTCGGATTCCCAAATTCCAAGCAAAAAATTTGATTTGGTTCCGCATTCCGAAATTCGGCACTTCGGCAATTCGGTTCGGTTTGGCACATCCGAAATTCAGAACTTCAGCAATTCGGCACTTCCGAAATTCGGGACTTCAACGCTTCGGGACTTCGGGTAAGTGTAGGATTAGCGTTAGGGTTAAGGTTAAGATTGGGTTAGGAGTAGGAGTAGGGTTAGGGTTGGGTTAGGAGTAGGGTTAGGAGCAGGGTTAGGGTTGAATTAGGAGTAGGGTTAGGGTAGTGTTAGGGGTAGGTTATGGTTAGGGCTAGAGGTACCCCTACTCTAACTCTACCCTTAACCCTACCCCTAAACCTACTCCTAGTGCAACCCTAACCCTAACCTTACCCCTAACCCTACTCCTTACCCTACTCCTAACCCTACCCCTACCCCTACCAGTTTTGCCACTTTTCAGATGTCCGAAGCACTTCGACACTTCAGAAATGTGGCACTTCAACACTTTGGAAATTTGGCAATTTGGCACTTCGGCAATTCAGTTTAGTTTGGTTTCCGAAGCGTCCGAATGTCCAGTTGTCCGAAATTCCTCTGAATTTCCATTCGGACCGAACTGCAAATGTCTAAAATATACCTTAATCAGAAACAAACTGAAAAACACAATGGCTCAGCATTACTGTTTCAGTTTGGGATTCTGAATTCCTACCATGGCACCAGAAAAAAAGATGATTGCAGTTAAAAATAGATAATTGATTAAAAGGAGATGTTCATTCATGAGGTTTTTTAGCTAGACATGGGATTAATAGTAGAATGGAAATGCTGTGTAACCATCTGAAACATTATGTATGCAACCCTTATGTTAATGTATTGTCAGGGATTTAGAAGAAGAAATAGGTTGCAGTGAGCAAGCATTATGAGGCCTATGGTATGTCAGGTTAATAAGAGGTTATGTCTCTGATGCAAAAAGTCAGGCGATGCCTGTTGTGTGGAAACCGTGCAGGTGCACAGTCACGGGTATCATGGAAGGTCTCTTCCTATAGTGCTCCCGGTTTCCAGTCCCCTGGCTCCAAACCTCCATGGGAACTGCAGTGCGATGTCCACTGACCCCAGTTTTTGGGACAATGTCCAGGGGCTGATGCAGAGACTCCCGAGTGAGTGGTCAGTGCTCAGGGTAAGGTCCCCTCAGGGTTCCCATTCCACAATGTGCGTACATGCCCTGGTGCCATCAGGGAGCAAATGCCAGACAGCTGAGGCAGCTTGCAAAGCTCCTGCCTGGTTCTGTTGCCAAAATTGTGTATAGATGCAGTAAAACGTGGAACCTTATAGCAGATCTGTCACTGTCTTCAGAGAGTATTTGAGGACCGTCGCCATCTTGAGGTCAAACAAGCGGCCTTGTGGTGACGTGTCAGAATGCAGGTATGTGTCCTACACTGTATAACTGTGGGCCAGTGGTGGGGATACAGGATCCACCAGCCACCTAGGAAATTGAACTTTATCAAGAAGGTCGGCCACCCCTCCCAGTCAGGTCCCGTTGGGCCGCAGCTGCTGAAGTTCAGATCTCCGGCAGTACATGTGTCAGAAAGACACCATCGGGTGCCCTCTAGCTGACAGGTACAAGTATGCTACTGTTGGATGTAATGGATAGATCAGTGATGGCGAACCTTTTTGAGCCCGAGTGCCCAAACCGTAATACATGCCAATTTTTTTTTCCCTCAAAGTGCCAAAACGGCAATTAAACCTGAATATTGAGGTTTAAGTTTAGAAAAAAACAACTCATACAGTTGTCTGAACTAATTAACATCTCTGTGTGTGTATTAAGCAGTTTGTGTGTGTGCTCGGCAGTCTGTCTGTATGGGTATTTAGCAGACTGCTGAATACACACAGACTGCTGAGTACACAGTCTGCTAAATACACACACACACACAGACTGCTAAATACACACACACACACACAGACTGCCGAGTACACACACACACACAGACTGCTGAGTGTACACACACACAGACTGCTAAATACACACACTGCATTGAGGGGTACAGTGTATGTGTTTGTGTGTGGGGTGATGTGTTTGTGTGGTGTGTGTGTGTGGGGTGATGTGTGTGGGGTGATGTGTGTGTGTTTGTGTGGGGTGATATGTGTAGGGCAGGGGTGTTGTGTGTATGTCGTCCCCTCTCTCCCCTCCCCCCCCACTGTTTTCTTTCCCCCCATCACTCCCTCATTTCCCCCCCCATATCTCTCCCTCATTTCCCCCCCATATCTCTCCCTCAGTTTCCCCCATATCTTATCTCCCTCAGTTCCCCCCCCCCCATCTCTCCCTCAGTCCCCCCCCATCTCTCCCTCAGGTGTCCCCCCCCCCATCTCTCCCTCAGGTGTCCCCTTCCCCCCCTCAGGTTCCCCAGTCCCTTCCCCTCAGGTGTCCCTTCCCTCCCTCAGGTGTCCCTCCCCATCTCTCCCTCAGGTGTCCCTTCCCCTCAGGTGTCCCCTTCCCCATCTCTCCCTCAGGTGTCCCCTTCCCCCTCTCTCCCTCAGGTGTCCCCTTCCCCATCTCTCCCTCAGGTGTCCCCCCTTGAGTTCCTACCTTGTAGCGTGGCCGAGCGCACCGCGGAGCTCAGTCTCCTGTACCCGGCGGACAGGAAGTGCTCTCTCTGTGAGCACTTCATTTCCGTCCGCCCGGGTACAGGAAACATAAGTTCCTGTACCGCGGTGCGCTCGGCCACGCTACACAGAGTGCCTGGCAGGAGGGAGCGCTGTGCGCTATGCGCTCACCTCCTGCCGGTCACTCCGGCTTTGCGCCTGCCGGGCCAGTGCGCCCTAAGGCGGCCACTTGTGCCGCCTTATGGATGCGCCGGCGGAGCGCACCCTCCATCCCTCCGGCGACCTATGGCCGCGTGCCCACAGAGGGGGCTCGGCGTGCCACCTGTGGCACGCGTGCCATAGGTTCGCCATCACTGGGATAGATGTTAAATGTGCTACTTTTATGCTAAATTAAGGGAGGAGCTTGATAGCCACGCCTCTGCCCAGTATTGCCCCACCCCCCTCTATCAGTTACTGTTTCTTACTTTACCTGTAAAACAACTGGTGGGAAAATGCTCCTATAAGTGTACTGCAAATAAATAAATATATATATATATATATATATATATAAATATATATATAATATTATGTTATGTATTGTGACAAACTTACTTCCCTGAGTGTGTTTGTCCAGGATATTTTGGCAACTGCACAGCCCTTTAGGGTAAGGAAGCCCTGTCAAGACAAAGTCCAGTTTCAAAGGCCTCTGGCCTGTTTATTTTCTGTTGTTATGAAGTAACAGGATACACAAAGCCGCAAACCTTCTTTCTCCGCAAAACACTTCCCCCACTCCACCCTGCTTTAACAGCAGTTATAAAGCTGCTCACATCTCCTACAGGTGAGGCTGATGACCTCGTTAGGCAGTGAACCAGAACTCCTCAGAAAACCTGGGCTGGACTCATGCACAGCCACTCTGACAGTGGGTGGATAATTGGCCCACCCTGCTTTTCCGAATACTCCACCTCAGGGACCCAAATAACAAGAAAGAAAAAAAAAATACATTTAACCCCTTAAGGACGTTGTGAACAAAACAAAACGTAAACAAACCCTGGCATTTGCGCTACATGTCTGTCCAACCGTAATTCACCTATTTCATATTGAATGCACCCACCCTTATTATATATCATTTTATTCAAGGGAAACAGGGCTTTCATTTAATATCAAATATTTAGCTAAGTAACATAATTTAATATGAAAAAAAATGTGAGAAAATAAGAAGACTGTATAGCAGCCCAGGAATGAAATTTACACCCATAATGGCATACCATTTGCAATAGTGGACTACCCAAGGTATTGCAAATGGGGTATGTCCAGTCTTTTTTAGTAGTCATTTGGTCATGTGTATGTGTATATATATATATATATATATATATATATATATAAACAAAGCAAAAAATGAGAGCACTCCATGGATTTGGTAAATCAAATTACTGTATTCAAATAGCACTTTTTTTGTGCTATTTGAATACAGTAATTTGATTTACCAAATCCATGGAGTGCTCTCATTTTTTGCTTTGTTTATAGTATTTTGCACAGAGAAGCACCTGGTATGTATTATTATTTGGGAAGAGTGCCAGAAATTGTATAGTTTCTATATATATATATATATATATAATTTTTTTAAATATCTTTATTTATATATAGGTATATATATAGTGATATATACGTATATATTTATGTATATAGATATATATATATATATATTATTTCGTTCTACGTATATTTTTATATAAATATATATATATATATATATATTAATATCACAATACAGTTAGAATTAAATAACACACATCTATATATTTTTAATTATTTATTTTTAATTATTTTTTTATTTTATTTTTTTACGTATTTATATATTTATTTTTATATTATATATAAATATATACCGTATATAACAATAATTATAGCATCCAAGTAGAGAGCACTCTGGAGTCTTCGTTTTATATCAAAATAAATACTGCTTTATTGTGCAGAATACAAAAATGTCGACGTTTCAGTCACAATAGACTTTTTAAATCAGTATCGGTCTACTATATTAATAGTAAAATACACCTAGACAGTGTATGTGTGTGTGTATATATATATGTGTATATGATCTAAGTATATTATTTTTTTTTACAATGATTTTAATTTAATTTTATTTCCAGCCAGCAGGGGGACTAACTGTCATTACAGGCAGTAATGGCAATGGCAATGCAGCAGCCAGCTAACCCAGCTATGTGATTGTGAGGTCCTCGCAAGGACCTCACTCTCACATGGCCGGTGCGAGGAGGCAGGATCCGCCGTGGGGGACTCCCTGGGATCCCAGGTGAGGCTCCCCAATCGCGATCCCACGCCGGCGACCGGATAAGTAACAAAAAAACTATTACTACTATTACGCCCTGCGGCGTTTAGAGTCGCTTCGAATAGGGCGTAATAGAATGCCCTCCGGTTTTAAGGGGTTAAACTTAACTTTCCCTGGGGCTGCATGTGCTTACCCACATGTCAGGATAGTGGCTGTGCAAAAGTCTGGGTGCCAGATATACACCAGATATACACCCCTAACCACCATCCCCAACACTCTCGCACAGTATATATTTTGCAATACACTTCACTGGTCCACCTGGCATTCGACAACCGAAAAAAATTGTCTGTTTTAATTAACCCTTAAGGACGGCGGGGCGTGCCTTCCTACTTACGCGGTGTAAGGACTCCCTCCTTCCGTTTCAACCCCCCTGGACCATGTGATCGCAAGAAGTGTGTATGTGTAAATATATATATACAGTGCCTTGAAAAAGTATTCACCCCCTTTGGCATTTTTCGTGTTTTGTTAGCTCACAACATGGAATTAACATAGATTTTTTGAGGATTTGCGTCATTTAATTTACAGAACATGCCCACAACTTTGAAGAATTTTTTTTTTTTTTTTTATTATTATTATTGTGAAGCAAACCACAAATAGGACAAAATAACAGAAAAAGTCAATGTGCATAACTATTCACCCCCCTAAAGTCAATACTTTGTAGAGCCACCTTTTGCAGCAATCACAGCTCCAAGTCATTTTGGATAAGTCTCTATGAGCTTGCCACATCTTACCACTGGGATTGTTGCCCATTCCACCTTGCATAACTGCTCCAGCTCCTTCAAGTTAGATGGTTTGCGCTTGTGAACAGCAACTTTTAAGTCTAACCATAGATTTTCTATTAGATTGAGGTCTGGGCTTTGACTAGGCCATTCCAACACATTTACATGTTTCCCCTTAAACCACTCAAGTGTTGCTTTAGCAGTGTGTTTGAGGTCATTGTCCTGCTGGAAGGTGAACCTCCATCCTAGAATCAAATCACATACAGGTTTTGCTCAAATGGCTTTATTCTGGCCACTCTGCCATAAAGCCCAACTCTATGGAGTGTAGCGGCTTATTGTCTCCTATGTACAGATACTCCAGTCTCTGCTGTGGAACTCTGCAGCTTCTCCAGGGTTACCTTAGGTCTCTGTCCTGCCTCTCTGATTAATGACCTCCTTTCCTGGTCTGTGAGTTTTGGTGGGTGGCGGTTCTTGGCAGGTTTGCTTTTGTGCCATGTTCTTTCCACTTGGTTATGATAGATTTGATCATCAAAGATTTGTATATTTTTTTTTTATAACCTTTTTTTCCTGGGAGATGACTTGTACTTCTCAACATCATTGTCCCTTACTTGTTTGGAGAGTTCCTTGGTCTTCATGGCAGTGTTTGGTTAGTGGTGCTGCAGCCTCTGGGGCCTTTCAAAAAAAGGTGTTTATATGTAATGACAGATCATGTGACACTTAGATTGCATACAGGTGGACAACATTTCACTAATTATGTGACTTCTGAAGGTAGTTGGTTGCACCAGAGCTTTTTATGGGCTTCATAACAAAGGGGGTGAATACATACGCACATGCCAATTTTCTGTTTTCTATTTCTAAAAAATAGTTTTATGTAAATATTTTTCTCATTTCACTTCACAAACTTAGACTATTGTGTTCTGATCCACCATATAACATACAGATTAATAAAACATTGAACTGAAGGCTGTAATGTAACAAAATAGGTAAAAAGTCAAGGGAGGTGAATACTTTTGCAATGCACTGTATATATGTTATATTTTAGGTAAACTGTAGCAGAAGAGGGCCTTGTAATAATTTAATTTTTTCTAATATTATTCTCTTATCTTATCTAGTTTCCAGTTCCAACATTCAAAACAACCATTAGAAAAAAAATTTTTGTTTTGTTACCTTCAATTTTTCCCATGACAAGTATATATGGGTGTGATAGCTGCTCCCTTCACACTTGTTAAATGTCATGAGTACTGTGACGAGAGCAATCTCGCCACATTGCATTGGAGAAGCCTGGTTGCTCGCCTGCTGCCTTT